CTGGTGCATGAGCAGGCTATTTGAAGCCCATTTTCTATGGTGGGATGTCTTGCTCAGATTTGATGTAGGGGACAGAGGACTGGTCCTCCTTCATCTTGATGTGCCAGGTTTGGTTGACTTCCGATTGGGAGACCACACACTTTCTATTGAAAGGGATGCGTTGGACAGAGTTGGAGTGGAATGGAAGGAAAGGAGGTAGTGGGGACCATGTTTGGTATCAAAAATGATTTAAAAATTTAACATGAAAAAAGAAATCTAGCAATCACATTAAAAATGTTTTCAATTCTTGAAAAATATGACGTTTGGGAAACTCACAGGTCCTAACAGATCCACACACTGGTCCTCAGTCTGTCCACTCCCAACAGTTCTGACAGCTCAGTCAACATGCCCCTCCTGCTCAGAAAGCAATGCCCCCTTCTCACTATGTTTTCCTTCCTAGGTCCCTAGAGCTGCATCAGAGGAGAACCCTACAAAGAACCAACAATCTACCTCCCAATGGTCTTCCTGAAAGCCAGTTCAGTCCAGAATCCTTCGTTACCTAGAACCACCTCACTGGATCTCAGGACAATAGTGGATCCTCTGCTGGATGTGCAGAGATCAAATATTACCAACCAGCACAGACGTTTCCAGCTCTGCCCTTTCTGCCATGGATCAGACAGGCCTCGAGTCTGGAGACTTGGTATTTTAGCAGAAACTTTCAGTTTCTCAGAGCACTTCCTGTTCCTTCGAAGACACATTGTCCCTTTCGTACAGTCTTTTCCCTAGCAACTGTCTGGGGCAACCTGTCAACCTCTAATGCGTTGAGATCCCTGGGTAAGGTCTCGTTGAATCAGGACACGGGGGTTGGGGGGGGGGCAGGGTAGATGCATGTCAAACTTTACTTTCGTTGAACTTTTTGTTTGTTTTTTGAGACAGGGGTTCTCTGCGGCTTTGGAGGCTGTACTGGAACGAGATCTTGTAGTAGACCAGGTTGGTTTCGAAGTCACAGAGATCTGTTTGCCTCTGCTTCCCTAGTGCTGGGATTAAAGGCATGCACCACCATGCAAGCTGTCTCCCAATCTTTGAACACAGGATACCCCTATGAAACAATGTGTCTGCTATATTTAAAATACTATGGAGCAACAAAGCACTTCCCTATATCTATATAACAGTGGAGTACAGTTTGCTGACCCAGAGAGCCACCTCCTTATCTTGAGTAGCAAACTCTGGCAGATCATTTTAAACATGTCAGCAGATGTATGCTTCCAGCTATTCTTGGTATGCCAAGTCTCATGCTCCAAACTGTGTCACATTTGACCCAAGAGGAGCCTACGCCTCACTAAGCCAGCTCTGTATCTCCACAGCAAACAACCGTTCCATAGCTGGAAAGTCTTGCAGGTAAACATAGTCCATATTCAAACAGTAACTATTGTTAAAGCAAAAAAGAGGCCAAGAATTAGAAAAGAATGAGGTGTCTATGGCAGAGCTTGCAGGCAGGAAGGAAATATTAGTATGAGGAAAGCATAATGCCAAAAAGTGTAGATCCCCCATGGAGGGCCTCACCCTCCCTGGAGAGTGGAGTGGGCATTGGGTGGGGGGTTGGGAAACTGTGGGTGCAGGGGGTGAGGGGAGAGGGAGCTGGGATTGACATGTGAAGCATGCTTGTTTCTAATTTAAATAAAAAAATTTAAAATGTTGAAAGTGCTTAATGGCTATGCTCTCTAGGAACTAGGGTTTTGCATTAGAGCCATGAAATATTGGTTACACCTTTTTTCCCCAGGCTAAACATCTTTTTTAATCTTTGATATTCCATGTATTTGCATCCCTGACTCCATATGGAGCTTCCATAAATGGCCAGTTTTTCATTATTTAAACATGGTAGCTTTTGCATCTTTCCATTCATTTTTTTTAAATTTTTCATTTCAGGCTGAACATCATTTTTTTTTTTCTTGAAGCATTGTAACATTGTAGACCAGGCTGGCCTAATTCACAGAGAACCACCAGGCTCTGCCTGTCAAGTGCTGGGATTAAAGGTGTGCACCACCACCACCTTTCTGAGGCTAAACATCTTAACCTGGGTAATAACAGACAAACCATTTTGTCTAGTTCTTGTACAATGACTGAACTACTGGAACTACAGAAAACTGGTTTCATGATGGTTTTCAGTTGTTCATCCTGATTCCTGATTGCCTGGTCTATGGACACAAGAAATGACAGTCAGAACATGTATAGATCATCTAAAACTGATTGCATCATTACTGCTTTCTAAAGTAGTATGGTAAAAGCAAGAATGTCTTCCCCCTCCTTCTTGTGCCCTCCCTTCTATGCTGTGATTACACCGGCTTTAACACTGGCCAACGAACTCAAATAATGCAATGGTTCCCAATACAACACAGAAAGACTTAAGGACACTCATTCACTGGTCTCTTTTTCCGTTCTCAGACCAGTCAAGGCACAGCTTGGAAGGAGCTGCAGGTCTGTCTCCACAGCACTGGGCAGTAGAGTCAGGATTAGATGCTCAAGAAATTCTTAATTACAAAGCATGGGGGGAACACCCAGAGCTACAGGAGACATTGTTCTCAACAGAAATAGATAATCAACAGTATGTGAGAGAAATGAAAAGAAATTATTAGTGATCAGGACATATTAGAGAATTAAAACAAATAAGATCCTGGAGAAGAGATGCACTTAATGAAATAATATCTACAAAGTGAAACTAATAACCCATTATGAAAAAAGTTTGATAAAAGTGAAAAAAAATCACATAGCTATCCTGAATTTGAAAAAGAGCAAGCCAATGTCGTGGAGGGAATGGCATTAACAAGATACTGAAACATCTTGCCTTATATGAAGTATTGGCTGCTGAGACCTGTAACAGGACACACAGTTACAGCCCATGGTCTGTTTCTCAAACCTCTGAGGTGACTTAACTTGCTCAAGCAAGACTGAACTTATCTGCATAGGATCGTTCCCTAATTACAAATTCATTATTCTTTGACTCAAGCTAACCATTGCAAAGTATATAACCACCAATGTGGACAAGTCTTCATTCACATGACATGAATTAACATATGTTGAGAAACTGGACAATTGCTTCCCCTGCCACAATCAGGTTTTTTCTCACAATGGTGACTCCAGCAGCTGACTGCCCACCATGTTTTTTTCCCTGTGGTGTACACAACATAGTATTCCTTCTATTCTGGTCTGAAGGCAGAAGCCATGCTCCACACACAAATCTATTTCCTGTTACTAAATGGACATGTGACTAATGACTCCAATAGGTAATTTTAAAACTAAGTGGTCATAAAGTTCTTTAAGAATTTAATTGGTTTAATAACTGTGACAAGGTCATTGGGCTGGGAGCAAATAGATTGGGATAAAGAGGATTTTGTCAACAAAGGAAAGCTTGTATCATAAACACTTTTTAAAAGACTGGAGGTACTGATGTTCTACAATTAATATGCATTCCCATGGAGAAGTCTTTACACACACTTAAGACTTGAATTAAAACAAATCTGTTTATTAACAGCATGCACTGAGCTGTGGCTACAGCTAAAAGAGGAGCCTGCCTATACCGTATTTTCCATTCCACATATGCTGTCCTCCTTAATTCTGTTTTAGGTTCAGGCCACAGGGTATATTTTGAACAATTTAAGTAGGGTTGGGATACTGCAAGTCTAGCAACTTGGGCAAAATTAATCTTTCAGATCATATATCAGTGTAACAATTCTCACATACCAGGGTCAGAGAACGCAAATATAAAAAAGGAAAAATCAAGACAAATTCACCCATAAGCACCCTGGAAGCTGTATTCTATACTCAGAATAAGGCTTCTTTTGCCTCACAGTAGGACGGCTTAGAGGAAGGCCACAGCTACTTCCGTGTAACCAGAAGTTCGTTTTCACTAGCTTTGGCTGCTGTCTCTCTCAGGTCTGTGATATCACTACAGAGAATTCCTTTTTAAAATTGTATTTGTAGTTTACATATATAGGTGTTTGCCTGCATGCATCCACGTACAATAGCTGCAAGGTCCATAAAGGGAAATCAGATCCCTAGGGACAAGAGAACCAGGAGACAGGAATAGAACCTGTGCCCTCTGTAACAATATCCAATGTTCTTAGTTACTAAGCTGTCCCTCTGCTTTTTTATTTAAAACTTATTTCAAACATTTTAATTAAAATGCATTACATTACTTTCCTCCTTCTTTGTTTTTTCATCACTTCCTGAATCCCTTCCTAAATCTTCATTGCTAAATACGTGTGAATGTGTATGTTCAAATACATGGATACACCACTTCTTTTTTTTTTTTGGTTTTCCCAGAGGGTTTCTCTGTATTGTTTTTGAGGCTGTCCTGGAACTGGCTCTGTAGACCAGCCTGGTCTTGAACTCACAGAGATCCACCTGCCTCTGCCTCCTGAGTGCTGGGATTAAAGGCCTGCGCCACCAACACCCAGCTGTGTCCATTTCTTTTGGTTGAGATTTTATTGTATCTGGGCTGAGTGGATTGCACTGGGTAAGCAGTTTGCCAGCTCAGCCCTGCTTGAGGGAAACACTCCCACATGCCAGAGAATCCAAGTCCTTAATGAGCAACAGGTGTCTGACCGCAAGCTGACCTAGGCTGACTTGACAGGAAACGGTATTAAAATTATAAAACTATAAAATTATAATGCCAGTTGAGTGTACATACCTCAGCTGACATTTGCCATGGCCCTGATGTTCTGGAGTCCCAGGGAGGACTGGGAATACCAGCCTGAGCCTCATACCATACTGCATTAGCAACTGTCACCTTGGATGACTTTGAAATCCTGAATTTTCTACCATGCCCAGCTTAGGCTGTTTCAGTTTCATTTAATGAGTCATTAGACTGACAAGATGAGTAAGATGAGCATTTCCATTTAAGTATATTAAAATTTCACTTACCTTGTGAGCCTCGGTTTCACCACTGGTAGACTAAGAACAGAATTCTGTCCTAGTCCCTTGGTGAATTAGAACAGACTCAGTTGGAAAGAAAAACAATATTGTTCATAGTTGGAAGACAGTAAGGCAGGAGGGCTTTATTTGATTGAACCATTCTAATACAGGTGTTAGGATCAGAGCTTGTGTCCTAACTATCCTAACTAGCCAGGCTCAGTCACGCATCCTTATTACACTAATAAAAGAACCAAGTTATTCCAGGCAGTGTTGACATATGAGTTTAATCCTTCAAATAGGGGCATCGAGTTTGTCAACCTTTAATACAGAGCTTGATCCAAGACTACACACAATACAATGTTTTGCTTTTTTAAAATAAATTTCATTGCCATTAAATTATCCTTAACGTTTAACTACCAAGCGGAGAAGTAACGGGGACATGAAGAATCACAAAATACAAAATTATATACACATATCCCTAGCTCATCAAGCTATCGTATGAGATAGAGTTGATTGCCTATTATGTTATTTTATAACATTTCTACCACATAGGCGAAATTGGGGATTTAGACACACATGAGGCCTTTGATGATGCTCTCTTCTATTAAGTATTTTAACATATAATGTTAAAACATCTGACAAAAAGCAGACATTATGGGTACGTCTTCCATCCTTGGATTTGTAATCAGGATACCCAACAAGAGATTCAGGAGTTCAGTTGAGCCTTGTGCAATCACTGACATCCCAGGCAGGCTGGATAACAAACAACAACTCAGGCAAATGCATGAAAATATGAAAAACTAAACCATGAACAACAACACACTTCCACAGACACACGTATTTGAAAAGTCTGATCACATAATACATGATATTTAAATAAAAAGTGGACCACTAGATGACAGGCGTCCCATTCTATACATTACAGCACAGAAATACCTATCAGCCATGTGAAACTACAATAGACGATAAACAGAAGCCATAGAGAAATATAAGAACTGCCTAATTATCTTCAGTAAATGGATTTCACAAAAATAGCACAATCTTCAATGCCTACTCCAAATGTTTCAAAATACAAACCACAGCCACAATTGTTATCTTCAACATTACACTTTGGTGAACATGGTAAATAAACTACTTCCTGTAAGGTTGCGATGAAAAGGAGAAGAAACAAGATTTTTTCCCTTGAAACTGAAGGCAACTATGATGTCTAATATCTTTAGCAAATCATTTACATGAACAGCCTTTTTTAAAAAAAATCATGTATGCACTCTTTCCGATATCCTCACATCAACATGTTGTATAGGGGGTCTATTTACAGGACTACACATGGCCAAGCACTTAAGACAAAGTCACTCGCAGGAACAGTGTCGGGTGTTTGACATCTTCTAGTTCCTGCAACAAGAGGTCTCATGCTCTTGGGAGGAGGCATGCATATACAGTCATACACCTACATAAAGACACACTGAAATCACAAAACTAAAAATGAGCAACTCATTAAGCAAATTTGCACTCATGATTTTCTCATGTAAGCATTCATTCCTGTAATGTGTGTGTTGAGACATCCAAAGGCAAATATTTTCCACATCACAAATTGCATCATGGAACAGGAACCAAACAGGTAGGCTTGACATCATAGAAATCAATCTTCAGTAGGTGGTATCATTTGGGGGCATTTAGGAAATGCTATTCTGCTGGAAAAAATACATCACTGAGGATGGTTTTGAGAGATTATATCCACACATTTCCATTACTCAGTCTCTACTTCGTGCTGCACGTTGACATGTGAGTTCTAAGCTTCATACTTTTTTCTGCCATGTCTGAAACTTGTCAAGACACTTTCAAGGTGATCTTGTATCTGATGCAATCATAAGCCAATTTAAAATCTTTCATAAGCTGCCCTAGACATTACTTGTCATCACCAGAACAGAAAAGGCACTAATATGCATCCATAATGTATTGTACCTAGAATTTAGTTTTTTCTTTTAAATGACGTGAAGTGAGAAATCTAAAAAGGTTATCTTGTCATTTAACTTCATATGGTTTTGTTCATATCAGTTTTCAGGTACAAACAAAACAAAGAATGACATCATCATGACTAAACAGACTGTTGACACTTTTCAGATTTTTCTGTCCCGAAAAACTAATCTTGCATGACTGAATGTAATTGCATTAGCTAATGATCTTACTAAAGTCATGGTATTCACATTGCCTTCACTATGCTTTATGTCCTCAAAGATTATTGTTATACACAAATATTTTAACAGATTGATTAAACACTACAGGTAATACTCTTGTATAAAAACTACCATGAAGTTAAAACAATACCATGCTTACTACATTTACAGGATTTCTCTGAAGTATGTTTTTTCTCACGATTTCAAAGATTACTGCTACATACAAAGGCTTTACTACGTTGTTTTCATACAAAAGATTTCTATCCAGCATGTCTTTTATGTATTCAGAGGACTCTGTTGTATAAAGGCTTTATCACATTGATTACAATTGTATGGTCTCTCTCTCCAGTATGTACTCTTTCATGTACTCGGAGATGACTCTGTTGTGCAAAGGCTTTATCACACTGATTAAATTTGTAGGGTTTCTCTCCAGTATGTGTTCTTTTATGCTTTTGAAGACTAACGCGGTATGCAAAATCTTTATCACATTGATCACATTTGTATGGTTTCTCTCCAGTATGTGTTCTTTCATGAGTTCGGAGAGAACCACAATATACAAAGGTTTTACCACACTGACTACATTCATAAGGTTTCTCTGCACTGTGTGTTTTTTTATGTATTCGCAGAGCACTGGACTGTGCAAAGGTTTTACCACACTGACTGCATTCATAAGGTTTCTCTCCACTGTGTGTTCTTTTATGCATTCGCAGAGCACTGTGCAGTATAAAGGCTTTATCACATTGATTACATTCGTAGGGTTTCTCTCCAGTATGTGTTCTTTGATGGTATTGAAGACAACCGTGCTGTGTAAAGGCTTTATCACATTGATTACACTTGAATGGTCTCTCTCCAGTATGTGTTCTTTCATGTGCTTGGAGATTACCCAGGTGTGCAAAGGCTTTATCACAGTGATTACAATTGTAGGGTTTCTCTCCAGTATGTGTTCTTTTATGCTTTTGAAGACTAACGGAGTGTGCAAAACCTTTATCACATTGATCACATTTGTATGGTTTCTCTCCAGTATGTGTTCTTTCATGAGCTTGGAGAGAACCAGAATGTGCAAAGGTTTTACCACAATGACTGCATTGATAAGGTTTCTCTCCACTGTGTGTTCTTTTATGTTTTCGCAGAGAACTGCGCACTGCAAAGGCTTTATCACATTGATTACATTTGTAGGGTTTCTCTCCAGTATGTATTCTTTGATGGTGTTGAAGATACCTGTGCACTGCAAAGGCTTTATCACATTGATTACACTTGTATGGTCTCTCTCCAGTATGTGTTCTTTCATGTCTTTGCAGTTGACTGTAATATGGAAAGGCTTTACCACATTTATTACATTCATAGGGCTTCTTGCAAATATGTGTTCTTTTATGGTCTTGAAGACTATTATGAGATGCAAAGGCTTTCCCACTTTGATCCCATTTGTAGGTTTTCCCTCCAGTATGTGACCTTTTATGGTGTTGAAGACTACTGTGGTTTGCTAATCCTTCATCACATTGATTACATTTGTAAGGCTCCTCTCCAGTATGTGTTCTTTCATGTACTTGAAGATAACTGCAATTTGCAAAGACTTCATCACATTGAGGATATTCAAAAGTTTCCTCTGCAGTATGTGTTCTTTTCTGCATTTGCAGACAGCCGTGGCATGCAAAGGATTTGTCACACTGAATATACTGAGAGGATTCTTCATTAGTATGAATGTTTTCATGCCTGTGAAGATAATTGTTAATGGAAATGATTTACCATGTTTATCACTCTGATGAATTGTTTTTACCATATGAATTCAATTTATAATTTAGTTCAAGTATAAAGAGGAACATATCTTAAGGTTTTGACTTTGCTTACATCCATAGTGTTTCCCTTCATTTTGGTTTGCTTTGCATCTTTAAAGATACCTGTGCTAGTAGGGGCCTTTATTAATACAGTTCACCATGGTATTCAAGTAGCTATGGCCCCCAGTAGACTCATGTGTTGAAATGCTTGGCCCACAGGTAGTGGCACTATTAGAATATATGAATTTGCTTGAGTAGGTTTAAACTTGTTAGAGAAAGTATGTCACTGTAGAGGTGGGCTTTGAGGTTTTATATGCTCGAGCTATAACCAGAGTATCACACAGTCTCTGCTACATGCAGCTAAAGATGCAGAACATATCTAACTCTTTAGCACTATTTATGCCTGCATTCCATCATGTTTCCTGCCATAATGATAGTGAACTAACTCTCTGAAATGCTAAGCCAGCTCCAATTAAATGCTTTCATTTGTATGAGTTGGTGCGGCCGTACTGACTCTTCACAGTAAGCTAAACTCTACATAAGGCACTCACACATATAACATTCTTCTATATGAGGTTATTCATATTTTAAGAGAACAGGGAGAACTTGAAGTTTACCACATCGATTGCGTTCATAAATTATTATGTTCTGAGGTAAACTTCATTTGCAAAGTGAGCCAAATCAGGATAAACAAAAGAATTTCGACATTCCTAGTACTTATAGGGCTTTTCTGCAATGTGAGCTTGTTGATGTATTCCCAATCAAGTTAAAAAACTAATTAATCATTAACTTATGTCACATTCACTAAGTATACTCAAAGTGGAGACTACTACATTTTCTATTAGGTCTGGGAGAAAAATGTTGTTTATTTCCATAACCTTATGCTTCAATGGATTGTATCCATTGTTTCACATGAAAGGCTTCCATATCACATTCACACAGTTTGAACTTTTGCTTCACATAGATATGTAGTATGGGGTTTAAATATTCTCCAGAAGAACACTTTGGTTACTCCAAATCTGCCTATGGTATAAAACTTAGCACAGTCAATAAATGTGTATGAATAACATGAGCTTTACTCTTGATTATTTCCTTATTAGAAAAGTTTGAACTTATGTGTATTACCTATGTAACATGTGTGTTTTGATATATCTTTGTATTAGGAAACTAAATGCATTGGAAATTCTATGGCATAGTTCACATAGGGCTATGGATTAAACTGTGATATCAGATAAAGCATTGTTTCCTTGTCTTCCTTCTATGAGAAATGCATTTCAAACACAAATTCTCTGCCTGACATTGAGGTACATGATTTGGTACTAACTTAGTATTCAATACATAGTAAATAAAGCTATGCTTGTTTACACTATTGCTTCTCTTTAGTGCTTCCAGGACAGATTAAAATTTCTTCAGAGGCACAAGTCTGTGAGGCGGCAGAAGACAATTACCTTCCATGTTGTGTAGAAATCTGATGAGGTTCTTCAATGTTATTGTCTTCCCAATCATAGGCTAAAATATAATACCAGAAAATGTATGAATCATGCAAGAAATTATGCAATACTTAGGATATTATCGTCAGTGAACCACATAACTATGATTTATTAACACCATTCTTCCTCTTTCTCGATCAAAATTTAAAGTGACAATTACCAAGAAAGACTTGCCCTCTTATTTAAAACTATGAAGTAAAATTCATAGTCTTACCTATATCAGTGAGGTTTCTGTATGTATCCAGCATCACTTCTTTGTAGAGATTCTTTTGGGAAGGATCCAGCAAAGTCCACTCATCCCAAGTGAAATGTATATGTACATCTTCATAGGTCAGTGCATTCTAAAACATCCAATATACATGTATAACAGAGCAAGATACTGACAACACTGTAAATGTATAACTCTTCAAAAATATATTCATATAATTCTGATGTGTCTCACACTTATTCCATGACAGAAGTTCTAATGCAATCACCACATCATTTTAGAAGGAAACTGAATAATGATCTCACCTCTATCATTTCTGCATATTTTGAACAGAATATAGGCCTGCATGAGGGATGTCTATTAACAGACATAAGGACAGTGACAAGCAACAGATCAAGAATACTGATCACACCTTAGAGAAATCAGATGAACAACTACTAACTAGAAAAAAGATGGGTGAGGTGGTTGTTTTGGCTCCTGCCTTTAATCCCAGAACTCAGGAGGTCCAGGTAGGTGCATTTCTGCTCTGGAACAATCTTTTTGTACACTATGAATAAGTGTTACTCTCAGAGTAAAAAAGAGCTCACTGGCTTATAACTGAGCAGGAGCAGGTTAGGGGCAAAACCAGACCAAGAGCATGCTGGGGGTATGAAGGACAGAGTCACAGTCAGGGGAGAGCCACCAGACAGAGGGAAAAGCAAGAAGGACACACTGTACTGAGAAAAGTTACCAAACCACATGGGATAACATAGATAAGACACATCGATTAATTGAAATGGAAGAGTTAGCTAGCAACCAGTCTGAGTTATTGGTCAAGCATTTATGAATAAGATTCTTTCTGTCTTGGTTATTTTGGAGTGGGCAGTAGGGATTAAAAAAACAAAAAACCTCCCCATACAAATTGCATTCCAAAGGATGGGAATTTCTGAAAGACCCAAGAAAGCTTTAAAAAAGCTTCTAATCTGAGAGAAACATTGTGAAACTTGATTTATTAGTCTTGTGTTTCTCAGGCCAGCCACAGTTCTGAGTCCCATTTCCCAGCCACCAGGCACCCTGCACTACAGCCCTGCACTAAGCTAAGCTGTGATAGCAGCAGCTGACGTGGTGGTGTAAAATTGATCTCATTGAACAAGAAAGAGATTACAGATATGTAGTAAGACTGAGAGAGAGGAGAAAAAAACTTCTAAACAGTTTATAGTGTGTTTAAAAATATACATAGGCTTGTGAGAGAAAGTAGAAAGTATAGTAAATTAAAAAAGAAATGTAGTTTTAAAATAATAAAATTCTTAATAAGGGGGTAAGTAATGGAAAAGAAAGAAGACACCAAGTGTTGGGAAATACAGAGTCCTATATATTATTGTATTGTCTTTGTATTATTTGGCTGCTAAGACACCGGATTATGAAAGCCCATAGAATAAACCAATCTATATATTTTAGAAATATCCAGGATTCAAAGCTTAAGCCAGATGGATACTGCTTTGGGGAGAAGTTATAGTTTTAATCCCACAGGACACAGAATTAATTCCAGATTTTTAAAAAATCAGGTTTGATCAGGGTACATCCCTGAAATCCTTGCTACAGACCTTAAAAAGATACCCTACAAGAACTTCAAAACAGGTAAAATCATTTTCCCTTGTTCACACTGTACTTGTAATCTGTGTTTATAAAATTTATATATTTTCAGAACAAGGAGAACAAACACCAATTAAAAGGGATGGCCCATATTATTAACATGTCAGAATGCCTCGGTTGCAGTTTGTGAGTTCTACTTCAAAAACAGCTTCAAGGCTCCTGTCTAAGTTGGTCCACCCTCACAAAGTACTGTAGTCAAAACCTAACATTATACTGATGTTTTCAACGTCTCCTCAAAGTTGTCAGTGTAACCAAACAACACGGAGTAGACTATAGAATAATGTCCACTTTCCCCAAAATATAGTTCATGGATGTTTATTATTATTTAAAGGATGTTGATTACAAGCTGTTATTTGAATTAGTCAGGAAAAAAGCTAAAGAGCAGAGATTATATTCTGGAATCTCTTTCTAAAGACACCCACGGTGCACTACTCTCACCACTCACACCTTCCCACTCCTATAAGAGCAGCCCCTTTGTCTCTGCCTGCAGCTTCAGAAGACTCTTGGGACCTAGATTATGATACCTATCACATTCCTCCAAAGATAGCATTCCCAGGTTCTACTCAAAGTAGTTTTGATTTTCACATCCTTGATGGCTAAAGATGTTGAATATTTCTTTAAGTGTTCCTCGGCAATTTTAGATTCCTCTGTTGAGAATTTTTCTATTTAGATTTGTACTCCATTTTATATTGCAGTGTTTGCTTTGTTGATGTCTATTTACCATCCTGAGAAGGTCAATACAGAACCACAATATACAAACATCGTATGTATTAATGTATAAGTGGATATTAGTAAAGAATAACCACAGTACAATTCACAGACCCACAGAGGTCAAGTCACCAGGACATCTGAATTGGAGGACCCATGGGTCTCCCTGGGAAGAGGAATTAGCACAGATTTTGTGGGTAGAGTGCTGGCAGGTGGGGATGGGAGCAGGAATGATCAGATGAATAAGGGAGAGACAGAGAGAGTACATGCAGAGATCTGGAATCAGTGGGTTTTCATGGTTTTATGTGGACAGTCATCTAATTGAACATTCTGGAACCTCTGAGGGTGAGCCTACTTAGGACTCCTAGTAATCAATATGGATCTGTGATGGCAAAAATCCTTCTGTGTATGTTTCTCTTTGGTTAATGAATAAAGCACTGTTGGCCAATAGAGAAACAAGATAGATGGGACTAGGAGTTGAGGAGGATTCTGGGAAACAGAGGCACAGTCAGTCACAATGTAGAACCCGGGAGAAGTAAGAGGCCCGGACCCTTTCGTCGGTAAGAGAAGAGCACTTGGAAATACTTAGATTAGCAGTTTTATGTTAATAATTAAATCAGAGCTAGCCGATAAGAAATCAAAGCAAACAGCCAAAAGCTTCACAATTAATATAGTGTCTCCAAGCAGCTGGCGGGAAGACATGAACCAGCTCTCTTCTCTAATCATATAAAGTGTATTGTGTGGGGGGAGCACTTGGAAAGCAACCCATAATCACCCAAACCCCAATACCTGGACACCAGCATAAGAGCCCCATTAACAACAGCCAGGACAGTATGTCATTCCAGAGTCCAGCTATCATACTATAATATTCCAACACAGCTGAAGCTGAAGGAAAGAGCTGGAATCCAACTTCATGAAAATTCCCTACAGAAAGTGAAGAAACCAACCAAAATATTTGAGAAAATGAAGAAATCCCTTTAAGAATAACTAGAAAGCCACAAAAAAACATACAGTTGAAAGAAATGGATAAAACTATTTTAGACCTAAAAATTTAAATAGAATCAAATTTTAAGAAGGACAAACTGAAGGAATTCTAGAAATGAAAAATCTAGGGAAGTGAACAGGAGCTACACATGCAAATTTCTCTAAAGGATTACAAGCCACAGAAGACACTCAGGCATTGATGAAAGGATAGAAGAAATAGATTCATCAGTTAAAGAAAAATTTAAATCTAAAAACTCCTCAAACATAACATCCAGAAATTCTGGTCTACTATGAAAAGACCAAACCAAAGAATGAGAGATGTAAGCGAAGAAACCCAACTCAAAGGATGAGAAAATATTTTCCAATAACTGATAGTGACATTTTTTCCTAATCTATAAAGGACAGTAAAAGAATACAGCCCACAGAATCAGTTACGCAGGTCTCAGAGGGACTCACCAAGAAAGAAGCAGCAATCACTAAGGCTACATGGGTCGGTGCTAGTGCTTCTACATACATGCTATGGTTGAGCAGGCTGGTGTTTTAATGGGACTGCTAACAGTGTTGGGAATACCTCTGACTCTTTTCCCTGCTCTTGGGAACTTTTCTTCCTATTTGCTTGCCAGATTCAGCCTTTGTATTTAGTCTTAATTTTATTGTTATGCAATGATTGGTTGATATCCTTTCGAGATCTGTGCTCTTTTTTGCAGAGAAATGTAGGGTGAGATCTCGGGGAGAAGGAAGCAAGAGAGGGGATTGGGAGGAATGGAAGGAGGGAAAACTACAGTTGGGATATTTTATATGAGAGAGGAATCAAAAATAAAGAGAGGACACAGTGATTGGACCAAGGAAAGACTGAAACTCTGCAAAGACACACAACATTCTGGAGCTCTGTCTGACACATGGGGCTCCAGTTTCAATGGGCTGAGACAGCTCTATTCCTAAAACTTTTCATGCATGCCAACTCTCAGCTACCTCCACGCCCTGTATGTACCTCTCCATGGTGCATGTCTAACAGCTTGAGTATCTCAACATCCTATGGTCTCAGAACACAGTCTTCATCTTCACAGTTTCATGTAATCAACTCTCACAGTCTCCTCACTGGAGAACTGACTCTGCCAAACATGGATACGTCCAACAACGCTGAAACAAACCCACAGACTATGAATCCATGACATTTCTATTCTTCACCTTTCATGTTTCACATAGGAGTACAAAATTGGTGATTCCCCGGAATTGAGCTTCTAAGTTATGATGGGTCCTGGCATACTTGGACCAGTGTTGCAGTAGTCTCTGTAGGAACTTGCTTCTTGGGTCTAGGGATTAGTTTGCCTACTCTGTTCAAAAACTGAAGGGTTAGGTGAATGGAGTTGTACCCTTAGGGTACCTTCCTATGTTTCTAGTGCACAGCAAAGTTCTTTGCTTGAATGGTCCTAAACTTGTTGAGAATTCCTGCCTCTTTTTCACCAGCAGACTACCATCTGAAACTATCTAGTGCTGTTTTATTCTAAAAAAAAAAATTCCAGACTTTTCATTTCTTTATGCCCCACTGTTTCTTTTTCACTATTTGCCTGAACGAGTCACTAATAATAAAAATCCATGTGTGCCGGGCGGTGGTGGTGCACACCTTTAATCCCAGCACTCGGGAGGCAGAGGCAGGCGGATCTCTGTGAGTTCGAGGCCGGGCTGGACCGATAGCCTCTGAAACAATACAGAGAAACCCTGTCTCGTAAAACCCAAAAAAAAAAAAAATCCAACAGAATTAATATTTTATCTAAGTGATCAGCCCATCTTCTTCACTTCTGCCATACT